TATATATTTTTATATATTTTTATATTTTTATATTTTATATTTATATATTTATATATTTATATATTTTATATTTATATTATATTTTTATATTTTCATATATTTATATATTTATATATTTTTATATATTTATATATTTTCATATATTTATATATAATTAAATATTTATTTTTAAAATTACTTAATTTAATAAATGATTATAAATTAATCTAATTATGATTAAATTAAATTATTAAATAAAAAATATTTATTTTTTAATTAGTGAATAATTAAATTATATTATATAATTTTACCGACGGATATATCCGTCGGTAAATAATTTTTAATTTACATATGAATTTACCGACTGGATATATCCGTCGGTAATTAATTGTTAAATTATCGACGGATTTACCGACGGATATATCCGTCGGTAAATTCATCAATAAATTACCGACGGATTTATCGACGGATATATCCGTCAGTAACTAATTATTATTTTACCGACGGATATATCCGTCGGTAACATCAAATTTCACAAATATTCTATATCCGTCGGTAATTTCCGTCGGTAATGATTATTTTCCGACGGCTACAAATCCGTCGGTAAATATCCGTCAGTAATACGCGATTTTCTTGTAGTGATATACTTTGGTCCAGAACATTCTCTAGAAGGTCCTTATTATAAAACTGGAAAAATGAATGTAATGATGTTACCATTATTTTGGATTATTTGGGATATAAACGGAGAAGAAAGGATTTGAAGGAAGAAAATAACAAGGTTTTAACATATCAGGAGATTATACAGTGGAAAAGCCATTTCTTGATAAGAAGCCAATTATGAGTTCAATATTGAAGAAGGAAAAACTAAAATCTCAAAAACATGCAATAAATGAAGAAAGGGAAAAGGGTTTTTACCTAGCCATGTTACTGTTTTTGTTTACTCAAATGATCATATATAAACAATTGCCAACACTGAAATCACCCAAAACGAAAACATGAAGCACAAAAAGGTGTTATTACAGTTCAAAAAATATTTGTAACTTTATCCTTTTCATTCTGCTATTGAAGATATTCGATGACCCCACCACAACACAACTTTGTTTATATTTTTTTTCACCTAGAAATTCGGCTACGAATATAGTACAAGTTGATGGGGCCATTATTTTTACCTTCAATGCCCTAATCATTTGCATTTTTTGAATAGTTATTAAAAAAATTATGAACTAGAAAGTGAAAAAGAATGAATGCAGAATGATCCCTATAATAACTCACCTACTTTTCCGTAACAGCCACCATTAATCGATTTCTTTTTCCTTTCTCACTCTCTCTTCTTCTCCAGTCAACAGCTGTCATCATCATGCTTTGTTTCTCAAAAAATTATGTCAATGTGACTTCTGAAAAAGAATCCTTCAGATAATATATAACACCACTTCTATCTCTCAATCTTCTGTGTGTTACATTCTCTTGTAAATTTTATATAAAAGATTACTATCACTGTATTATATATAACCTTTTACATTAACTTTTATACATCAGAGAAATAGAATGTCGAAAAAAAATTGGTAAGTAATGCTGTGAAAGGAGTTAGTGACTAATTTTTTTATAATAACATTAGTACTTAGATTTTTTTGCAAATACTTTTTTAATTTTTGTTATAATAACTTTTATTCTTTTATAAATTTCTCATTTATCCTTATACTTTCAAATAAATCAATTTCATTTTCAATTTCTTTTTAAATATGTGGTTTTATTTTTTATTTTTATACCTAAATTTAATACTTGATTATGATTTTTCATATTAACAGAGTTAATAAAATGATTAAATATAATTTTAATAATATTTTATACTTAAAATTTGAATATATAATGCCATTTTTTATTGTAATAAAATTTATTAAAAAATTATATATCTATCTATCTATCTATATATATATATATATATATATATATATATATATATAATTATTTTATTTTATTTTAATTTGATAACTAATTTGTTAACTCTTCATAATATAAGGAGTGAAACCAATTTTTTAAAACATTCATATATAAAAACATATTTAATTTTTTTATTTATATTTATTTCAATACTATAATGGAAGAAATATAGTTATTTTTAAGAGTAGGAATTAATAATTTACTCATCATTTTCATAATTATTTTTTAAGCATAATGATTAAGATACGTTATATTTTAGATCTTTAAATTAAAATAATATATAAAAATGATGAATAATTACTTAACTTTTATTTTTGAAATAAGTAACTTTTTTCATATTATTATGATTAAAAGTAATGTTTTTAAAGTAAAGGAAATTTTGTATAAAATTAAAAAAAAAAGGAATTTTATAAAATTTTATAAAAGCCTTAAAGAAGTGTAATTTAAAAAAAATAACGTGTAAAAGAATTATAAAAATTTAGGTTTCATTTTTGTTTAACTGTTTTTTTTTTCTCGTAGTCAGTTGAGGTTTTATATAGGCATGTGTTTTTCTAATTTTTATAAATTAAGATAATAAAAAATTAAAAAATTACACATAAAAATTAAAATGGTAAAATGGGTTAGTTCACCCCTTTAATTTATCTTATTTCTAGTTTGTTAAAAAAAAAGAATGAGATAAATTCATAATCTTCTTCGTCACAAGATGGGGATGGATTAACGAATTTATTCATAATAATTTATATATATATTTTGTTTAATATACACTTTTAATTATATTATATGAATAATTTTTAAATTTTTATTTATTAATTAATATTTTTATTTAAAAAACTATTATATATTTATGGATTAAAATACTTAAATATATTTAATAATTTAAGTTTAATTTATTAATATTTATAATTTAAATTATAATATTATAATATATTTATATATTTTAACAATATAATATAAAAATATAATTTTTTATTTTAATTATAATATATAAATATTTTTTAAACAAGTTAGCAAAATAATTTATTCTGTCTCGTGTTTTGATCACCAAATTAGGGACTAATGAGTTAAACAAAAATAATCGATGAACTAAAATGATTAATCCATCGTTTGTACAGTACAATGGTGGGTTAAAAGATTAAAAATATTAAATTTTAAATTTTAAAAACTCGTGAAATTTTATCATTTCTATATAAAAAGACTAAAAATTATTAAAAAATATTGCAAAATCAGAATTTCTTTTTTTATATAGAAACTAAAAGATAAAATTTATATAAATTAAAAAATTAGTATATGAAATTAATGGGATTACTTTATTTAATAGTATATTGAACCAACAATTTCTCACTCTCTTATCCATTTCATTGTGCTGCAAGGATGACCTAAAAAGTCTTATAATAGTTTTGAAACATAACTAAAAAAAATAAAAAATATATGCACTAAAAATTATAATAGAAACCGTGTAGAAAATCAATATAAAGTTATTTTTTATGAACACGACTACTCTTCTTAAGATAACTTTACATGAACTAAGTATGTATCGTTATATCTAGGATGGTAAAATGGGCTAGGTCCGGCGGGTCAGTCTGCCAGTCCACCATAATATAGCGAGGCGGGTTGGTGTTTTCAGTCCACCAGTCCGCTTTGGCCCGTCCTGCCAACCCGTCATTGGCGGGGCGGACCAAGATCTACAACCCGTCATAACTATATCGGGTCACTCGCTTCTGCCCCACTTTTGGCAGGTCAAAGCGGGACAGGTCAAAACGGGACGGATTGACCCGCTTTGCCATCCCTAGTTATATCTTTATCTTCTTTTAGACATTTAGTTCGATTACATACTCAAAACTTGAATTTGAAACTATTAATTTAGTTTAAATAATATAAAAATATATTGACAACATTTTATTGTAATTTATTTTTACTTGTTTATATTTCAACTTATATTAAAAAGTTGTAAGTAATTAGAAAAGGGTGAAAGTGCATTGCAAAACTGTCTTTTTAATATGAAGGAAAATATTTTTTATTACGACAGAAGTAATACAAAAAATGTTCTTTTTAATGGATAAAAGAGGACTGAAAAACAATAGACAAATAAAAAAAATTGTTATATATTTATAAATCTTATATAATTTAAAAATAAAAAATAATTTATAAATACTCAAATATAAAATTATTAAAATTGAATAAAATATATTTTTAACACAAAGACGTTTAATCACACCTCACCTACAAATATTATAATATATAAATAAATATAATATTAATTTTACATGAAATAATTTTTAGTTTTTCATTTTTAATTTAGTTTTTTATTTCTAAAGATAAAAGAATATGTATTATAATAATGAAATCCACGACATCATGAATTTATGTGTAGATTCGTGGAGGAGTCTAGTCTGCTTCCTAATGATGATAAGGATGAAGCATTCTTGTTCTGTGTGAAGCATCAAAATTCCAAATCATTCTTTTCCTCTCTATTTCTCTCTCCCTCATCATATTTTTCATAGACTTTATCAGACACACCCTCAGAGAAAAGCGTGTCACCGATTAATTAACATTGATCGATGTTAGCAATAAAAACTGTAACTGGCAGATAGAAAGGTGGGGAAAATGGAGTAAATGGCATGAGTGAATCTCCTAAAATCTTTGGCTATCTTTTTCATTGAAAGTTACTTTGAGATATTCTGAATTTGGGCTTGACAAATTGGCTTTGTGTGTGAGATTGAGATGGCCTACCACTGTTAAAGCGAGGTAGCAGAATTGACTGAGCACTTAAATGTGTCTCAAGCACAATACACTACAACCTTCTCCACCCAAAGTACACACAGAAGAAGAAAGAGAGAAAGATCAAAAATAGAGCTAGCTACAGAGAAAAACAAAGAAAGACAATGTGAGAAAGAATAAAACCAAAAACTTCCTCCAAGGACCCCACATCGATCAAGGTGCTTCACTAGATTAACAACACTTCAACAGCCGTTGCAATAATTAGATACAACTTGGAAAGAAAAAATAAAGCAAAGAAGAATGAAATATGATAAGGTCTTGATCAGGTTAAAAAAATTTGGGCTAAATTAGCTCAACTTCAGATCTTAATTCACCATTGATTCTTGTTGGATCCTGTCCAGCATTTGGTATACAGCTGCGGCTATCTCATCCACTGATCCCAGCTTGCAATCTTCTTCCACCTTCAACAACATTTATCACAACTTCAGTGCTTACAAAGACATGTGTTAGACCATATTTGTTTGTAATTTCTCACAATATCTAAGAGTACTTTCACTTTGAAAGTGAAAATGCTACAACAATTTCAAACTTTGATGTATGTATGGAGAAGAAAAGAACACCAAGAGAAAGGTAACACTAACCTTGACATTGAGAGAATACAGGACAATTTCCTCGGTGGTGGTAACATTTAGGTGCAAGATTGTGAGACGCATGCCATGCAAACTAGAGACTATTGTCAAGAGCTGCTTTGGCCGTTTCTTGGATCTTATTTTGAGATTTGCATGGCTCTCTACCATTGTCACTTCTATGTCAGCAATGCCAGACTGAACCTCACCCTTTTGCTCACTCATGGCTGCAGAGTTATCACAGCCACCACTGGCACTTGTTGAGTACTGAGGAAATGAGAAGAACTCAGAAAAGGGTACATCAGGTTTCCCCTCTTTTTCTTTCTGAGCACCAAGAAATTGCAGCCTCTGCTCAAGCTCCTTAACAAAGTTGATAGCACCCCCAATAATAGATGCTTGATCACCCTACAAAGAATTGAATCAAAACACAAACAGTTAAACCCGTTTCAAAAAGTTAAAAAAAAAAAAAATGCAAACTAGTAGCTTAAACTTTGGTCCATATGTAATTTAGCAATGATGTTTAAGAAGGTGTATTTGGATCCTAATTTTTTGGCTAATTGCTAACTTCAATTGGAAGGTTATCTTTCATGTTTTAAACAGCATGAAGTGAATCAGAGATAAATTGTAGATTTCCCCTTGAAGAAAGTGAAAAGCAGAAGCATGTTTTGGTGGAGGAAATGTGTGATTGAAGTACCCTTTGGACGTAAGATTCAGGCATTAGAGCGCGAAGAACAGAGAGGTACTCGTTCATTTGCTTCCTTCTGTTGCGCTCTACAGCAATGTGAGTCATTCTCTGGTTCTCGATCTCTTCCTTATTCTTTCTGCTTTTGGTTCTGCGCCTTTTGGGACGAGCAGGGGTGGAAACTGAACTATCTAAGTTGTTCTGTGTGTTGCTGGTTTCTGAAGAAGGAGGATTTGATGCATTCATGTTGTGAGGCAACAAGGATGGAGGGGAAGAGTTCCAATCTCCATAGGGATAATTCTCTGTTTGGTTGTCCAGAAAAGTGACACAAGCCTGGTCTTCCTTTTCAAGGGTGAAATCTCCATAGCCCCAGTTGCCTGCAGCACCTTCTAACAAGTTGCTGTAGTTGTAAGGGTCTTTGATTGCATAGCCAAACGGGTCTTGGGGTTGGGGATACACTACTGCTTCAAGTGCCATGCCTCTCTCTCCCTCAGACAAACACATGCACAAAATTTTGATGTGGGTGCCCTCAAACCAGAACAAGGTGAAGATGGAGATGGAAAATGCCAAGTTGCATGCTATTGAGGAGTGCTTTTGAGCTTTTAAAGGCCCTTGAGTTTGAGGTGAAGGTGAAGTAAGACACAAAATGGACACTGCTTTGCACGTGAAATAGAGAGGAAGCTATGTGTTAGGATTTTTATTGTAGCCAAAAAAACCAGAACAAACTAAGAGAAAACACAATTCATGAGGGTCATGAAAACACAATTAATTAAACACTATCTATACTTTAAAGTAAATACATGCTAAATTAGTTTTAGGGTATCCATTTTCTCAATGCAATTTGAAACACATTTTGCCAAGGCAATTAGTTGAGTTATAAGTAATCTTCTAAAAGGATGGTCCAAATTAGAGGGAGGAAAATGATGGAGGTCACGAGTGACACAATTTTTCATAAAACAATTGGGTGTAGGGGGTTTAGACTGAATAGAAACATAATTGAAACTGTGAAAAGTTTGTTTAGCCTTTATTTTAGCCACAAAAATCCAACATCTACATATTATTGATACTACGTTAGAATGAGTTGGTAGGTTAGTAACAGTTTATTTCTCTAAAATTATTTTTACACTAGGTAGACATCTTTCTTTTTTTTATGCACTGTTACAGTATAATTTTTTACCCTTATCTATTATCGCATTACATTATTAATTGTTTCATGCATATCTATTAATTGAATATATCGTCTATCACAACTTTATTATCATGATTTGATCATGTTTAAAATATATATATATATATATATATATATATATATATATATATATATATATATATATTAAGCTTATAAATATATATAATTATTCAATAAATGACTAAAGATAAGAAAACATCCAAATTTATAAATAATATATATAATTATTCAATAATTAATTATTCCGTATATAAATAATATTACTTTTATCATTATAATAATATTATTAGAATTTATTATTCATTTTAAAATTTTACTGATTTTATTTTTAAAAAATACATTCATAAATTAAGTAGATTTAAGTGAGATGAGTAAAAATAAACTATCATTAATTTCAATTTTTAAATTTTAATTTGTAAACGATATAAGAATAATTAAAACATAAATTTACAATTATGTATCAAAGGTAGAAATGGATCATCACTCTGTCTTTAACCTAATATTCTATTAAGAAATAATATTCATATTATTTGTGTATAATATTTATTTGTTCTATTAATAATTAATTTTATTAGAGTTGAATTAATTGTATTTGATAAAATCTCTCTTCCCAACCATATTTTTTTCATCTAAAATCCTTTTATATTTAAGGATTTGGCATCAAAATAAAAAAATATAGTTAATCTTCTAAAGTTCATGAAAACGATTGTGTAGTTATTATATCTTCTAATTATTTATATTTTTTTATTAATACTTTTATTTTTCTCACTTATAAATAAATAATTAAAAATATTGTACATCAAGTCAACTTAAATAACTAACTAGAGTAAATGAATGGTACTAATATATTAGGTGTACTTTGATAAAATAAAGATAACGATCTTATGAATTCAGATAGTTATTCACATATTATCCTAAAAACGTTTAAATTTTCATTTTTTTTCATCTTTAAATTATTTACGCTTATTCATTTAAATATCAAGAGTTTTTGCAAGTGATTTCCCTTCTTATTCGGCACATATTATTAGACGTCCACGGTGAACGTATACTTCAATAAGTTATTTAAATTAACTATTACAAATATAATAGAAACATATTATATATTAATAATATTTTAAAATGGAAATAAATAATTAATTTCTATAAAAAAATAACAAACAAAAGAGATATTAAAATAACATTAATAATTAAGGTGAATAATATTTTTATTTTTTTATTTTATGAGATTAATAATATAAATATTTTAAGATGAATGTCAAAATATTATAATTAATAAAAGAAAATGAGGAAATATAAAATTGAGAGTACGATTGACTTAAATTTATTTTATTAGTATTTAAAAATAGTTTTAATAATTGATTTTAAAAATATTTTTTAGAATAATTAAAAAAACTTATTGAAAATTTGTTTACAAATATTTTATATTAAAAATAATGGCAGTTAACAACAATAAAAAATCATAATAATAAAACATATACTTTATTAGTTTTTTATTTTAAAATTTTGAAAATTACAATAATTTGAAAATTAATTTTAATAAAATAGTTACTAAATATTTTTCAAAATAATAAAAAAGCTCTAATTTTATTAGTATTAGTAAAAATAGAGATAATTACGTAGATGTGAAATAAAAATTTAAACTAGAATAAGAACGCCGTTTTGTTACTATTCAGGGCATTGACTCTCCAACAGTACAGGGATTGCTTTACTTTACGTGGGAAAAATCAAATTTCACAAACACAAAAATATAAATTAATGAGAAAATATAATTAAATTATAATATATTCATCTAGTTAAATCTATTTATGAATTGATTGATAATACATTATATTAATTTAATTTTTCATTTTCTCCTTCATTCTATATATGAAATATTTATTATTACGGAACAATATTTTATTTTCTTAAAACTTAAATCTTATAATATAATTGGTTTGATTCGAAGTCTTAATTATACACATTTAATAAATAAATGAAACAAAATAGAATGGCACGTGAATCAGCACGTAGTAGTAGGTTCTAATTCTAATGCCTTAAAAAAAAAAAAAAAAAGGTTAAAATTTTACCTGGTCCTGAAAGGTATCCTCCACAACAACGTTATACCAACCCATCGAAAACAAAAAAGCAGTGAAACGGTGCGCGTGTGGGACAAGGAGCGGTTAGAGCCAGAAGTTGATGGCGCGTGGGGACACGGGGGGTGGAGGAAGGTGAGGAAAATGAAAAGACAAAAAGAGAAAGAGGTTCGTGATTTGGTAATAAGACGGTCGGAAGTAGGAGGAGCACAGCGCAAACGCGATTATGCAAAGAAGAAAAGAAAAGCTGAGGGAGTCAGAGATTCTTGCATTGCAAAGGTGAGAGAAAAAGGGTTAAGAAGTTTGTCCACATTTTCACGGTCAGAAACTTGCAGAGAATCCATGTGCTTCATAAACTAACGTGAACAAACAAACTTTCCAACATACCAAAGCGATTCCATTTGCAAACTCGTTTCGGACTCAACACAACATTTGCCCATAAATTATGCTCTTCCAACACCCCTTTCCTTTTAAGACACAATTTTAAAGTGAATAATTTATTTTATATTTATGAATAAATTTTATAATTGTATAATCATATTTTAATAAATATAAATATACTATAGATAAATAAAGTCAAAATAAAAAATATACTTATTTATATTTTTAATTGATTATTAATTCTAAATATATAATATTATATTTAAATATAATAAATTTAGTTAATTGTCAACATTTTTCTATTTTGAATTTAAAATTAAATCAAAACAAGATAGATCTAAAAAATATAATAGAAGTTCGATTTAGATAAAGTTGTATCTTTTTAAAATCATTTTTAACTATTTTTTATCTATTCGATTTTCAGCATCCAGATTTATGGTTTGAATTAATTACATATAAATGTTTTAATTTAATTCTCGAACATGACATGACATATAAATGCCAAATATAATTTTAGAATTATCAAGATATATTGAGAATATTATCGCAGAAAATTACATTCAATAATAGTTTAAGAAAAATATTAAGTGTAAGAATACAGAAGTTTTACTAATTTTTTTATTATTATTAAGTATAAGAATACAGCATTAGAATCTATACAAAAATATATTTTTTAAGGTTTATTCAATTTCAGCTTTTCTTAAAATAAGTGGAACGAAAATATCTTTAATCAGTTTCCACGTGTTATATTTTTTTATATTTTACACTTTACAATTTAAATTTTATATTTTAATGTCTTTAATTTATGGCATCATCTTCAAATCCTATTCACTTTTCAAATATTTATTTTAAAACAACATATTGCCCTTTTTGCATGTTTCTCTTCCATTCACTTGTTTTTTGCATTTTATTTATTAAAAATTCCAATTTATTGGTATTTTTAAAGACTATTTAGTGAAAGTTGTGTTATTCTACACTTTTTGTCACTTTTGATAGTAGTTTGGGTTAGTATTAAATTATTAAATCAAATGGTTGTTTATAATTTTTTCATACTAGTTAAGTTTAGCAAAGTAAAAGTCATTATTTGATTTAAGTTTCAGAATAAAATTCAATGATTTATATACTAATAAATAAATATTTTATCACATATAGATTAGGCTTTTAACTTATGTCACATTGTTAAGTTAAACCTATTATTTAAGCTCAACAAAAAGGAACTTAAATTAATTTTGATTTTTAGTTTAACTCGTTTCGTTCATAATCATAAAAGTCAGATATTGAAACAATTTAGATAAGAAATTTTTGAAAACAAAATAAATATCACAATGAAAGCATAATAATAAACAACAAATCATTTAGTATTTAATAAGCCTAATAAACAACTTTTAATTTTATTTTTTATTTGTAAAACTATAATTCCAACTAAATTATATATATCATTATTGTGGTGAGAAGTATAAGGAAGTATGTAAGACTTATGAAATCCTAAATATTTAAACTTTTATTAATATTAATATATTATTTATAATTTTTATTTTATTTACTAAATAAATTTTATTTTTGATCCCTTAAGACAAATTTTGATTTTGCTATTATTCTTTATAATATATATTATTTTTATAATTTTTAGTCTCTTAAAAAAGTAAGTAAAATAAGAGAATTATATTTTATTATCAAATAATTCATTGAAACATCATACGCTATACAATTATGCTATCATATGTTGATGTTAAACACATCGTTAGGATTCTATAAAAATAAATGAATATGATTAAAAAGTGATAAATTTAAGAGAAAAAAATATTAAAAAGTTCATAAAAATATATGCAGAAAGTAAAATATAAATAATGAGTACATCTCACATCATATTATTTATTTTCCTTTTTATTTTATAATATTTGATATTTTATCAATTTTCTATGCAACACTTTTTAATATATACTCTTTTTAATTTTCCACTTTAATAAGTTATATCAAATATATATTTAAACAAAAAAAACTGATGGACATTATAAAATAATAATAACTATTTTGCTGACCAAAACGCGTGAAAATAAAAATGGAACAGAGAATTAATTAATGAGTCTAATTAATGGTCATCATCATATAGAAGCAATAAGAAAATTGTAGACCCAACTGGCACATAGCCATTGAATGATTTACATAATAGATACATTGAACAGAAACTTTTTTTATTAATAAATAATTAAAGCAATAATCTCATACAGTGATTATTATTATTATTACTATTACATCAATAATTTAACGTTATATGTATAAGCATCTTGTCAGTTAATGATGATGATGATGATAATTATTTTGATAATGTAGTGGAGATGCTTCTACCAAAGGGTGCTGTACCAAACAAGAAATTACGCAAATAATGTAGTATTAGTCATTTAAGTGGGTCCTCTTCATTACTTTTTAATTATTGCATTTGTGTGTTAATCACTGTGGATATACTTAACAATAATTAATTACAACTAAGTGGTTTATGGAGGTGTTTCTCATCATAAAAAGAAAAAATATAATACCTACAATGCATTAATCAATATTTTTAAATCTCCACCTATCATTCGACGTTTGAAAATATGGTTTAGAGTTTAAAAGTTTAATTGAGGTTAAATTAATCTAATCAAATTTAATAAAATAATATTTTTATAATATAATAAATACAAAATAAGTCTGTTAATAATAATATTTTTTTATAAAAATAATAAAAATTATTATCATAATTATAATAAATATTAAAGAGTATAAAATAGATAATTATTAAAATAAAATAATTATTATTTAAAATTGACATAATAAAAAAATAGAAAAAAGTTAAATAAATAAATTATATCTTTTGTAAAAAAAATATTAAAACAATTTTGTTTTTAAATTTTTTTACTATAACTTGTTTATCCAAAAATCCATCTATTTTTTTCTAATTTTATTTCAATTTAATTATTTAAAAGAAACAAACTAATTTTTAGATCGGTTCTAATCTAATCTGATTTCTTGATTTTCAGAAAAGTGATTGAAATTATACATACACGTTTTTCAATAAAAAAAATTCTATAATTTCTATGTAAAAAATAAAAAATAAAAAAGCACTATGTATATTTGTTTGACGTTTTTAAAAAGAATTAACATTCTATTTTAATTATTATTTTACAACATTGGTGTAAATTATTCAATATTATTATTCTAACTATTAATTCTGGAGTAATAAAATAAAATGGAAGTATAGATGAGAGAAAATTTAATTAATATAAAATATAAGAAAAATATTCAAAAATTGTTTAATAATTTTATCAAACATAAAGTATCAATGGTATTCCTCGTAAATAAGATTAATTAATATATATATATATATATATATATATATATATATTAAAAAAGTAATAAAATGTAAAATTTAGCGTAGAATTTGTTATTGGTTAAATTGCTGTTATAGTTCAATTTTTTTTTAATGAAGTCTCTATCGAAATGTGATATTGTAAGTTATAGTTATGTTAATTTGCATGGGTTAAGAGATACTGATGTTAATTTTTGGTTAATATTTATTCGTTTCATAAGTTAGAGGTTAATGACAACTATAAATAAAATGTAATTGTATTGGATGACATTTAAAATTAGTCAATAGCTACAACTTGACAATATCTCTCTTAATTTAAAGTTAAGAAAAAATTATTCATATAAACTCCTTTAACCAATTTTAAATAATTTATATATGTAAAATCCACGATAATATATATATATATATATTTTTTTTTCAAAAACACTTCCTTTTGAGACATTCTTAATCTTTCTTATCCATGCTAACTTCAAGGTGCCTTTTTAAGATTATAATTTGTACATACTTTTCATTTTTCAATGAGCGTGTTCATCATCACCACATTCACGAACCAGTTTACTCTACCTCTCAATTCAAATCAAATTGGTCTTCTGCAACTTTTTGGTCCTTCATGAATAAAGCAACTGATTTTTCTTCTTTGAACACCCTTTTTTCTCTCTACTTTAGGTTTTTGCCTCATGGTCAATCAACGGTAATTGATCTATGTATGCATGGCAAATCTTGGACTTTAAATGCAATGACATCATAATAAGTTCCTTATCTCTGATATCTGTACTTCTAGTTCTTCCACCTCCTATGGATGCTAGCTAAATAAGTTCTTTCTAGGTTTGAGTTCAAAAGTTCCATTGTATATACTTCATGCATGAGAGATGAACATCATCATGGCTTGTCCTTTCAATGTGTTGATTAATGCTTGTATTTATAACAAGCCTCCCACAACAAGGTCAACGTTCACCAGAGATATCGAGTAAAGCCACTCAAATTACAGTCATAATCATAATTAATAATTGATTAAGAGTGGATAATACACTGGAATCACAGGCATCCATATTAGGTTTAGGTATATCGATATATAAACGTCTTGTCATACATGTTGACCACTTCTAGGTTTGATTACAGAGACAACATGTTAAAGTCAAGTCTGTGAGTTGAGTTCACACAACAACATACACATGCATGACCAAATTTGGTGATTGGTTTGGTTAATTAAGCCATTATAATCTTATATACTGCTAAAGATAACGAAAAAGATGTCTATATCAGGCTACGTATCAGTGAGGAAACAAAAGAAGGTTTAATTTCAAGGATTTAGATT